AGGGAGGAACAGTCTGGTAACCGACCTGAAACACTTCAGCAGAAAGAAAAGCCGAATCAAGATGACACAGACCGAGGCCAAAGTCTGGATGGCATTTCCCACTAACCAGCTGAATGACAGATTTTGTATTTTTACACGCCTGCCTCCGAGATACTCCAACCTGGAGTTCTAACACCAATTTCAACACGTGATTCCACAAAATCGATGGGCATCAATTATGTGCCAGAACCTACACGAGATGAGCTTGAAAAGATTACTAAAGAGAAGCTGCAGAGTTTGTGTCCGCCTGACACGCAAGCGTGGTCCAGGAGAGCCCCGTGCCCTCAGCCGGACAGTTCGGCTGTACCAACCCCCGTGCGGGCCAGAAGCAAAGAAAAACTATTCATGAGCACACTCGCCACGATGGAGAACACATCACACAACTGTTCCTGTAGTGACAGGCGGAAACTGTACTTATTATCACGCAGACGGGGGCAGGGATCTGAGTGAAGGCCGGCACGCTTCCGCTGTGTTTCTTGTGCCGGGAGGGAAGTTCCCGTCTGTTAGGAAACTTCATCCCCAGGCGAGGCTCAAGCCGCAGTTGTAACAGCATCAAGAGTAAGTTTCAGGGCTTCCCTGGTGGCACAGTGGTTGAGAGTCCGCCTGCCGATGCAGGGGACACGAGTTCGTGCCCCGGTCCGGGAAGATCCCACATGCCACGGAGCGGCTGGGCCCGTGAGCCATGGCCACTGAGCCTGCGCTTCTGGAGCCTGTGCTCCGCAACGGGAGAGGCCACAGCAGTGAGAGGCCCGCATACCGCAAAAAACAAAAATAAGTTTCAGGCCCCGTGTCAGCCCCGGCCCGTGGTGACGCATCACGTGTGGATGTCCAGCGCCTCCATGCTGCCCGCTGCGGAGCCCCCTCCCCCGGCAGGGCCTGGGCTTGGGCCACCGGCTCCCTGGACCCTAACCTCGGCCGGCAGACGGGACTGCTCCAGAGGAAGACGGTACCCAAGTAAAAGCAAAGCCTCCCACCTCCCAGTCCTTCAAATCTCCTGTGAAAACCAGCTCTTTCCACCTTCTGTGGGGCGAGCATCTCACTCTCTCCATTCCTGCCTCGGGCGAGGCCCCTTCCCCCGGCCCCTCCCACCCACCACATGGCCTCGTAACCCCAGTCAGCCGCCTTGGCCTCTGCCCGCTCGGCTCAGCTCAGCCGCCCCTCGGGGCTCCCCCCTCGCCTGCATCCCTGCTGGAGCCCCTGTGTCCACTTTTTATCACATGTATCCACGGACGGAATTTCCTTTCCTTCCCTCTTAATTCTAGCAAATGACTGCTGAGAAAAGCGCGAGGCGTGGAATCGCCTCCACAGAACTCACACCTCGACTCTCTGAGCTCACCTTGGAGTCCTCATTGTGCAGGGGTCCCGGTCACTCTTACGCAGGTCAGAGAGGCCGCCGACAGTCCCCTGGCGGAGCCCAGGGCTTCGAGCCGCACCTGACCTGGGCGCGGGGCCTCCCAAGCCGCTGTGTTCCTGGAGAACACCTCGGCATCCCTGGGTGTCTCTCTCCCATGTGCTGACCAGTGATGTGTATGTTAGTTTCATGACACGGGTCACCCAACTTGGACCCATGCTGGGAAAGTGGATGTTTGGCCTTCCCTCCTTCCCGAGGAAATTATAAACTCAAAGACCAGGACCCCAAGCAACGCACAAGACCTAACTTCCTCAGAATGCAAGGGAAACGCAGCTGTGAAGTCCGTTTTCACAATGCCCCTGCCCCTGGCCCCGCCCCACCTCGCAGGCAGCCTCTCCCGGCTCTTCACAGAGAGGTTCCCGCCTCTGCCTTTCCCACCGCCTCTCAGGAAGGCCCTGCACACGGAGGTGACCCCCGGATCCATCCCGTCTCCTGCCGATAACCCGTGTCCCTAAATCCAAGTCACCGTCAGGAGTGAAACCCAAAGTGGGCAGCAGGCTTAGCTGGAAGGTGACCAGGGCCTTGCTGTGGCCTCAGAAAACAATCAGGGAGGGCGGGACCCCCAGCTGGGTCACCGGGCTGCACGCAGCCCTTTGCTCTGCGGTTCCTGGCTAACTGGTTAGACAACACATGTGCACACACCCCTCAAAGGACCAACATCAGGGCTCCGTCTACACCCAGACGAGGAAGGAGTATTTTCTTAACCCTGACTCAGACTTTTCAAGAAGCTTCACCCTCCTCGGCCAGCAAGTCACAGGGTTGTGGAGAGAAAGGCTTGCTTCCTTCCATTCCTCCCCCACCCCCTCCTCACTGGCCTGGTCAGGCTCCCAGGAACAAGGACGCTGCCTAATGAGAGTCCCACAGCTCTTCCTGGCCTCTTCCAGGAAGGGGTCAGGTCAGAGCCTCCACAGCCCGCTCACCCCCACCAAGGGGGCTGCCCTGAGGACACAGGTGCTGGGGAATCACACGTGGCCTAAGAGGCCACCAAGTAAAGCCCCGAGCGGCTCAACACACCGATGAGCAAGCAGCTGCCTTACCTCGTGCTGGTCGAGATCCCCAGACTCCCCGACACAAGCCCCGGCTGTTTAACACGCACAAACACGGGTAACGCTTCTGAAACGGGCCAACTCTCTCCCCACCCACGTGCTTCTCTCCACCAGAGAAAACCAGCACACGGGCTACTTACTTGAAGTTCTGGACTAATACTTTGTTTTTTTCCTTTTATCCATATGACTTACAACTGTGTTTCTCAAATGTATCCAGAATCACCTGGAGGGCTTGTTAAACTCGCCACGGCCACCACCACCACCACCCGCCCCTCCCCCCTCCATCCACTCGGCTCAGGAGGTCTGGGTGGGTTAAGCCTCCCCGGTGAATCTGAAGCAGGTGGCCAGTCACCCCCACAGTCAGCTGGAAGTGCTCCTGGCAGGCAATACAAGCTGGCTGAACTGCAAAAAGCATGTTCCTTCCTAAATGGTTAACCTGCCCTCTCTGTGTGCCACACTCTCATTAGAAAAAAAATCAAACACGATCTATTCTAAGGAGTAACCTGTAATTAGAAGCTAATGACTACACTGTAGAAGGAGACAAGGAGTGAGAACAATGGAGTCTGTGGATTAATAAGCAATACAACACGGAACTTTGTGCAGCCACATACTGATAAACAAGGACCTCAGACATGCCCTGATCTCTGAAGCTGAAGAAAATCCACTGGGTTGAAAGTCAAATCTGAGGTCTCACATCACTCAAAAGAGTAGAACCATTTGGCAAACAGCATACGATGTGACTTTGTTCTAGTATTTTTTTCCGTGCACTCTACTTACAATTCTTGGGAAGAATTTTTTAAATTAATGAACTTTAAACATTAGATGGGTACATATACCTATCATTCATTTATTAAGTAAAAATCTTACCGAGGATTGAGAGCGAAGACACAGAGAGGGCTGACAGGAGCCCTTGTGGTCACGCTGCCTCAGTGCAGCGGAGATGAAGGAAAATAAATCAAGGTCAGATGGAGACAGAGCACACGGCACAGGCAAGGTACCCAAGAAAAACCCCTGGGGAGGTCAGAGGAGATCCAGCCTGAACTGGGTGTTGAAGATGTAACCGTTTGCCAAGAGGTAAGAGAGGCAAATGGAGGGACAAGAGAACTACGGGAACACAGAGGTGTGACTTTTAGGGTCAGCTAGAATGGGGGGCACGAGGGGACACTGGCTGGAGGCCAATCAGGAGAGGCAGACGGGCCAGTTCATGCTTAAAAACTTGGACTTTCTCCTGAAGGCAGCAGGAATCCGTGTAAGGATTTTTCGCAGATATACTGAAATATAATTTGCTGAGAAAGAAGTGTGTGGAGGCAGAGGGAGGATCCTTCTGGAAGGTCGTTGCTCTGGGGTTGATGGGGAAGATGACACGGCCCGAAAAGGGTGGTGCAGGTGGAGGGTCTGCATCCAGCGAGGTCTAAGGGCAGGGTGGACAGGCCAGCGACTAGCTGGGACGGGGGAAAGCAAATGAGCGAATCTGGGATAACATCCATATGTGTGCTGCGCATAGCTAAGAAGAAAGGGGTACCGGTCACCAAGCTAGGACATGCAAGGGAGGAGCAACTACAGCTCGTGACTTCTGTTGGGGACATACCGGGTTCAAATTCTCACCCATCCTCTCCCAGGCTAGACTCTTCGCGGTGTGGACCTCCAAGGGGCCTGGGCGAGCTCAAGGGCAGGGCTCACGAGGCATGGGCAATGATGGAGCCTCACAGTTCACGAGACGGAGGCGGGGGACCTCAGCACAAGGTAGGGCTCTGGGGAGCACCAGAGTAAGCCCCCCAGGAAATTGTTCCCCAGAGGGACCTTCACTACAGGGGGTGTCCCCAAGCACGCTGGCGTTGAACTGGGGCTGGACTAGGGGTGAGTGAAGCCGCCCTTGGAGGGAATCCCAATGAAACCGTGTAACTCAGAGTGGGACTTGAACCCATGCTGTTTTAAGTGAGATCACACACCTGGTCTCAGGACTTAATGAAGCTCAGGTTCTTGACGTCTCAACACAGAAAGAATTCAGTGAGAGACAAAGTGATAGGTAAGAAGTGGATTTATTTAGAAACACACTCCACAGACAAGAGTGTGGGCCATCTCAGAGGCAAGAGCGGCACCAGGGCATGGGGTTGTCAGTTTTTATAGGGGTGGGTAATTTCATAGGCTAATGAGTGGAGGAGTATTCCAGCTATTTGGGGGGAGGGTGGGGATTTCCAGGAATTGGCCACCGCCTACTTTTTGACCTTTAGGGTCGGCCTTGGAACTGTCATGGCACCTGTGGGTTTATCATTTAGCTGATGTGTTACAATGAGCCTATACTGAGGCTCAAGGTCTAGTGGATGCTGACTAGTCCGCCATCTTGGACCTAGCTGGTTGTAACCAGTTTATGTCATGTCCTCGGGCTATGTTTTCTTTTAAAGCTTGTGCCCTGCCCCCTTCCCTCATATTCCACCACCATGGCACCAAGCTCGGTGCGGCAGCGTCCCCCTCCCCAGACAGGAAACCCGCAAGACCCCACTCACCTGAAAGCATCTCTCTGGGTTCCTGAGTTTCCTCCTCTCCTGCCTGTAGCCTCCTTTCCCTGGAAGCTCTCCATTCCCGTCTTCTCCTCCGAAACCGATGGCTAGCAGCAAGTTCCCACGCCCACCCAAGTGCATCCAAGGCGGCGCGAGCGCGCTCTGCAGGGTCCTGGAGAACGTGGAGTCTCAGAGGACGAACTGTCTGAAGAAAAAATGGACTCTAACACCGCGCAATGATCTGAGAGTGAGAACAAGGCCTTCATCTTCGAAAAAGCAGGTGAAAACTTCGTGTCCTCATGCAGTTGTCAAGGATGCTTATTAAATACGAGAAGAGCATGAAAGATTTGGGTTTCCTGAAAAAGAAACCAGCTGAAAGTTCTTGAGGTAATGAAACTAATGTTGAAATAGGATTTCTAATTCCACTCACTTGTGACCCAGACCCCCACACAGACTCCGGCCCGCGGCCCGGCCGGGTACCTCGCACCTGCGCCGCCCCCGCGCGGCCCGACCGGAGGCCCGGCTGGGTGCACCTGGGCGTCCGACGCGGCAGCGAGCCGGCGAGCATGCTCAGTCGGATCCTGACCCATTTCTGCGGCCGGGCCCGCGGCAGGGGTCGGGGCGCTCCCCCGCGAAGCTCGCCGGGGACAGGGAGAGAGGAGGAGAGCGGAGCTGCGTCACCCCGCCCCCGGCAGCTCTCCCGCCTGGCAACTACCGGCGACTACCGGCTCCCGGGCGCCGTGGGAAATCTGCAGTTCCGGGTTTTCGCCGCAGCCCGAGGGGGCGGGGAGGGGCGGGGAGGGGCGGGGTCGGCAGGGGCGGGGGCAGCCCGAGAAGGAGCTGGGGGCTGGCCTGGCACCAAGCAGTCCCGCAGTGTGGAAAAGGGTAGCTTGCGCTGCGGGGCCGGGCCGCTCAACTTCTGCAGGCGCCTTAGAAAACCCGTCTTTCCTCACTGACAAAACACCACAGTGGTCACTAGAGAAAACTTAGAACCTCCAGATAGTCACAAAGGAGGAGAATAGAATCCCAAGCCCGCCGCTCAGAAGCCTCCGGTGGACGTCCCGCTCCTGAGGCTCCGCGCGCGGCGGGGGCGCTGCCGGCGAGGGCACCGCGGCCGCACGGGGGCCCTGCTCGGGGTAGGTCCGGGGTCACGGTCCCAGGGCGGGTCCCGAGCCCCGCGTGCGGGAACCCGGGACCCATGCCGAGACGGCCGAGGCTGCAGCACGGCCGCGCGGGGCGGGCGCCGGCCGGCTACAGCTGAGCGCGGGGTCCAGTCGCGGGGCCGCGGGGACTGAGGAGCCGCCCCCCGGCCCTGGCCCCTCCCCCGCGGGCCGGCCCGCTGCCCCGCCCCGCCCCGCCGCGCTGCCGAGAAGACCCGGCGACGCCGCGCGCACTGGGCATGCTCCGCCCTGCCGCTCGGCCCCGCTGCGCTGCGGGTGGCTCCGCGCTCCCGCAGACCGCAGCCCGCGCCGCCGCCAGCGCTGGGGCAGAGGCGGCCGCCGGGAGGCTGCGGGCATCGGCACGGCTCCCGGGATGGCCATGGCTAGGGGCGCGCGGCGGCCGCCGGGGTGGCGAGGCGGCGTCAGGTTAGCCGGGCGCCGGTGGGCGGGGGCGCTGGCGGCGGGGAGCCCAGCACCGCGTGTTGGCCGAGTCGCCGCCGCCGGCAACGCGGCCGCGCAACTTTGGGGCTCTCGGGCTGGAGGGGCCCGCGGCCGGGGCTGTGCGCCGGGAGGCGCCCGGGTCCCCGCGGCGGGCTCCTGGGTCGCAGGATGCTGCGAGATCCGGGAGCGGCGGGTCGGGGACACGGCGTCCCAAGCTTGTGCCATAGCCTTCCCACGGCTACAGGAGCGTGGTGTCCACAGTGCGCTGCCGAGGAGCCTCCCGGCCTCCGTGGAAAGGGGACGACAAGCCGCGGCGGGGCCTTCGCCGACTCCAGGTCGCCCGGGTCACCGGGCCTCAGTGTCCCCGGGACGGGGGGTGGCGGTGGTGCAGTGTCCCGGGTCCGGCAGGCCCTGAGCGCGGGCTGCGCGTCCTGGTGCCGCAGCGGTGCGGGATCGGTGCGCGCCGCCAGCCGCCGCCTCCACTGGAGCTCTCGGAGTTTGTCGCATTTGACTCCATAGCAAGTTGACATCGAATTGCTTCATGGCGTGGAGTGGGTAAACGTGTTTCATCGGCTTAAAAAACGGAGTAATTGCAGAGCCGATTTATTTTAAGCTCGACCATTAACCGGCCTTCCCCTCCAAAAAACTTGAGCTTGCAAGTTGCAAGATTTTTAAAGCAAGCTAGCCAAAAAGAAAAAAAATGTATGCAGGTCCATTACCCGCTCACACTGTAGAAAATAATGTACTGTGGTTGAATGGTCATTGTTTTTAAGCATACTCGTTGCAGAAAGGTTGGGTTACTGTAGTCTTCTATGTTGTGCGTTACTTTGGCTTTATGTTAAGAACTTGGAAGCGTAGCGTCGCAGAAGCGCAATTTTTTTTTGTAAAGTTTTCTCACTTTTGTTTCGAAAGGAAACACATTTTTTTCTCCATTGCTACTATGCTGAACATAGTAAAATTGTTCAAGATGAAACGCAAGATGCAAGAAAATTTATTTTCAGAAGGGATTAAGTTAGAGCAATGTAGTTCTACTGGGCGTTTAACTTTTATGGAAAACGAAATTTGTAGGTCCCACCAACGTTTCTGTTGGTTCTTAAAACATTTAGTACCATTATCACCCTTAGGATTACTGGATTTTAGGAGCAACGCAAACAATCCTTTTCCTAGTGGGAACGAGTTCCACCTCTAACTAAAGCTCTAACTCTCAAGCCAGTTTCCATAAGTACCACTTAGTGGGTTCAGTTGTTTTATTTATTAAGGTTATTACAAAACATCTGGTTTGCGTTCTTCATAGACCTAGACTTTTGAGGTGCATTTGCTTTTCACTGGGTTGTGAATAGCTTTTAATGTTTGTTCTTTCGTGAGATGGCTCCAGCTCTCATTTCAGATGCTCCAGACCATTTCCCCAAGTGGGGTCTGTGTTGTGCGTGTAGGTGACCGAGATGTAATAACAGGAGTGAAGTGTCCAGACAGTAAGAGCGGCAACATGATGACTCTTTCTGCAAATTAGGCCTGCAGTCCTCCATTTTAGCCAAAGAGTTTGGTTGGTGGTGTTCATTGCCCTAAATGTTTTTCTTAATATATTTATAGAAGAATTTAGAAGTTTGAAAAAAGACTGACACAAATACTAAGAAATTGTGCTTCCCTTTTCTATAAAAATGCATCCAGTTCAAAATCTGCCGTGTGTACTACATGTATGTACAGCTTATCCGTTACGGCAGGGCCCATGTTCTCAGGCTCCATTCCTCAGTGGGTGTTCGGACCATCTACCCTCACCCTTGGCTTTTTGCTGACCTGGAGGAAGCAGCTAGGCCTGAGTTTCCGCTTGGTGAATGTGAAGTTTGATACAGATCCATAGCCCCCCCCCTTGTGGATCTGAAAATCCTACGTATTTTATCAGTGTTAGGAAAGACAATGAAATTTAACAGAAGGCACATTTAAACACCACTCTTGGCTTTGGGAACTCCACATTCTGCTAACCTGAAACTAACAAAACCAACAGGAGTTAGGTTGAAGAGAGGTTTTATTATTGCTAATGAAGAAAAAATAGCAGAGTAGACTTTGTATTCAAATTCGGAAACAGGTGATAATCTCTCCTCTTTTGTACCTAACTGTTGGGTTCTTGCAGCTCAACTGCTGGGCACATAGATTTTACTTTTAATTCCATGTCTTTAGGTTTCTATAGTGCATAGTCCTATTAGTCACATTGGATATTCGTGGCAAACTATTGCCTTTAAAAGTACAGCTTTGCCCATTCACGAGACCGAAATTTATTCAATTCCTTGTTTGCCTTGCAATTTAAAGATTTGAGGCCATTTAAACTTTGCTTAATTTGAACTTTTTGTTCTATGCAAGAACTTCCAGATACTGAAATGTCAAACAAATATTGTGGCAAAGTTGCTTTTAACCCCCAACAAAGTGCAGTCACATTTGTTAGATGAGAATCATTTCCTTGGAATTCAGAAATAGTGCAAATAAGGTCACTTCCCTCATTCAGCATCTAACCAAGCATTTGGGATGTGGCTTGCCCTTTTCTAGCCAAGCTCAGGAGGACACTTGACAACACTTTGTGATCTGTGGCAAATCACTTTAAAGTCAGAAACAGCCTTAGATGCAAATGGTTGATTTTAAGTTTGCAGGAAGACCTCCCTGGAATCGTTAAAGGATTAAGGGGCTTGGGTGATTATGTGATAAGAACCAGTTAAGAGCTGTCAGAACTAGTTTCTGAGTTATACTCAGAAGTCCTGTGTGTTTATTGGTCTTGCCTCTGCCTGAGGCCTTTACTCATTAAAATATTCATTTTTCTTCCCCACAATCTTTTATAGTTAGGCCCCTGAGGCTGCAAAAATGAGTAAGACGCAGTGATTCACAGTCTAGTCAGAGAGACAGGCTTGAGCACAAATAAACTGGAGTACAAAGTCAGTGCTGCCAGAGACGTGTCTTGGGTTGGAAGGGGAGGGGCCTCGTGAAAATAGTGACATTTCCGTAGGATCTTAAGGAATGCCTAAGGAATTGGATAGGAGTCTTCTACCAGGGAAGTCCAGGCAGACCACCATGATGGTAGTTAGGGTAATGCCCCCACCACCACCAAGATGTCCACTTCGGGACTGTGCAGATGTGGTTAAATGGAGGATCTGGAGATGGAGAGGTTATTCTGGATTATCCAGTGGGCCCCATGTAATCGCAAGAGGGAAGCAGAGGTCAGTGTCAGATGCATGTGAGGAAGACTGGCTGGCCATTGCTAGCCTTGAAGATGAAGGGGCCAAGGAATGGGGGCAGCCTCTGGAAGCTGGTAAAGGCCGGGACACAGATGGCTGCCCCCCGAGCTTCCAGAAGAAGCACAGGCCTGCCAGCTCCTTGATTAGCCCATCCTGACCCATGTGGAACTTTTCACCCACAGAACTGAAAGATAACAAATGTGTGTATAAGTCAATAAACGACTTGGTGCCTTAGAAAGGAGCCATAGAAAGGTCATCCAGCCATATACAAAGAAAGATTTGGTGTGATGGAATCAGGGGCCGGGGCAAAGGAGTTTGGATTTCATCCTATTATAGATAAACGATGGGAAATCAACTGAGGATTTTTAAACAGGAGCATGTGATGGACAAACAGATGCCAGTTTTATCTTCCTGAAAAAGCAGTATACAGCTAAACCCCAGGTTTCACAGGACAGTTCGACAAAGGGTGTGTCACTAGAGGTGGTCAGTGGCAGATGGGAATCTGGAACCAGCGTGTCGTGTGGTATAATTCAGTTCTCTCCATTGATCTGAAATGACATTAGTATGCATGTGTGGAATTAAGAGCTTAAGAAGACTTGTGTTCACAGCTAGTGATGCAGGAAGGACGTAGAAAGTAGAGCAGAAGGGCGAGTCACGTTTGGGCTACTTTGTTTCTGTTCATTGCCCTCTTAACAGGCAGCTGCTCAGCTGAATACACGCCCGTGCAGACCAGATGTGGGCAGGCACCTGGGGGAAAGTCAGGTTTAACATAGTTACCTTGAGAACGATGCCACGTCACCTGGGCCAACTCTGACCAGTTGGTAGGAGCTGCTTGCCATGTCGTGGGCTTGTACAGGCTCAGCTGGGAAATTCCGACAACCCGTCAGCAGTGTTTGCTGTGGGCTCCATATTTGCTGGGGGATGGGCAACAGCTACACTACCAGATGCCCTAACCTGTGGGTTTAAATATAAGAAATTCAGTCATTCTCTCCAAACATATTATTCAGTCTCTTTTACGTACAAGGGCTTAATAGTGTATAAAAACGTATGGTCTGGTTGAATTGACATCTCTGTGTGTCTGGAAAACCTCATCTGAAGAAATTTTCTACCGTAGTGTTCCAGGAGTGGCTCCAAGTTGAAACCGAACTATATGTAGAAAAATTAGTAAGAGAGAAGAGATTTTTCAGACAACATGGTGCAGGAAGCCCTGCGTTGGCAAAATCCGATCCTGGGAACAACAATAAGACTTGATGAAAACTTATCTTAATGAAAATGAAACTGTGGATCTATATTGTTTAGCTTCCGTTTGCATAACTTTGTAAGATTTTTACCCATACTTCCTTATATAGTGATGCAATAACTGTTTTCCGATGTCTAGGACAAGGTCAGTGTAAACCGTTCTATCTATCTTGAATCTCCTCTCCCTTGGGCTCTGGGATACGGGCCCCTCGTCCTCTGAGGGTCTGTCCTCCCTGGGTTCTAACCTTAGTCCTCTCATTTTGTGGCCCACTGTGTTCCTTCTGGGTGATTTATTTTTCCTCATGACTGCATCAGTCACCCACACACCGATGTCCCCAAATCTGTACCTTCAGATAAGCCTCTCTCATTCATTCACTGATTCATTCAGCAAATATTGATAACCTGAGAGCTTATAACCTAGCGGAGGGATGGATGTGCACAAAGACGGTTACAGTGAAAATACGAAGTTCTGGGTGAAGGTTGGTGAGAAAAGGGGTGTCGGGGGCTACCTGGGCAGTCCTGGTTGGCTTTGAACTTGAAGGCTGAGTAGGGGTTTGCCAGATGTGTGAGAATATGGAAGGAAGCACGGTGCAGAGGTGCCAAGGGAGCTCCAGGGATGAGGTTACACAGGCAGGCGGGAGACAGAGCATGAAGGATCACGTGTGTCCTGCCATGGACTTGGGTTGTACGCTGGTGGCGGGATGAAGACCTGGACTACGTCTGAATCGGATCTCTCAGAGTCAGCCCACTTCAGCAGCCACATGGTGTGTGGATTGCAGGCAGGCAGGACTCGAGGCAGGTCAGCCAGGACGGGGCCCATCAGAGTGACGTGGGAGAAAGAAAGAAGGGATTAATTCCCTGGTGGTTGTCCAGCTTCT